AAAGTTATTAAGGGTTAAAGTTTGCCAACGAGGTCAAATCGCTAGAGATAGCACATTTTGCCGAATGAAAATTCGCAGCATCAATTTGCTCAATTTCTACCACTATTTATCAGTACGGGCACCACTTTAGACAATTATAAAATAAATTTAGTTTACTATATGTACATTTTTACTGGTCTTGAGTCTTGAAATATTTAAATCCAAAAAGATATGTTACCATTAAAAGACAAAAAAATATTCTTATCAAACATAGTACCTATTGTTTTATATATAAATTACTTAATTTGGTTTTTTAAATTGGTTGGGTTATTTTTATATATAGATTACTTAATAATTTGGAATTAAAATATTAATAATAAGAAAGGGTAATCTGGGGATTAATGAGACAATAAATAATCGAAAGGTAAATATTTATTTAAATTAAATGATACAGATGTAATAGAATATAACCATATAATATATTGTATTAAATACCGTATGATCGAAAAAAAAACGGTGTCCAGTTGGCTGGGAAACGACGATTGATGACATTTTCAATATAAATTGACAGCGATCTTCATATCATAGCCACGCTGACGCCGTTTTTTCTCGATCATAGGGTATTTAATTAAAAAGGCTTTAAATCTCTACTAGAGAATATACAGTTTGTGATGTTTCTGAACAAACTAACATAAATGATGTCTGCTAGCCAGCTGAACGTTCGAGGATCTTGAAGAGATATTTTTATATACACTCAAGACCACTATATAAATAAGTACAAATAAACACATCAGTCTTTAACGTTTATTGCATTATTTAGGCAAATTCAAAATCTTCAGAACATTTTTTATGGATAGCCTTCAGCAAGTATGCCCTTGGTACACAGTGGTATCGGCATTTAAAAAATAAAGTACTCAAAGTTTATATATTTTTTTTCTTGACCTCTTGGCCCAGGCTAACTGTGGTTACAGACGGACAGACAGACAGACAGACAGACACCATTAAAATATTTTGTATTTAGGTCATTTATGACCCAAATAACTCATTTTGAGTGAAATTAAAAAACTTTTTTTTTGTCGATTTTAGCCTACCATACCTATTGGTATGGTCGGCTAAAAATCACTTAGGTTTTCCGTGCTCTAAGAATTAATGGTTTATTAATTTTCCTTCACCATCTTGTCAAGAAGTATGTAAATACATATTTCCTGTTTTCTTCATTTAAAAGTTAATAATTATTTGATGAGAATGTTACTTTTTATTGTAACATTATTATATGTTTTATCGCAAAACACACTGTCTTAAGAAATTACTGACTTATGCCGTATTTTACCTCCAATATTTAAAAGTAGTTCATTTGTCCCATATATATTTCATGATTTGAATTATGGTTTGTATTTACTAAATTAAAAACCTATTAACTCAATTCAGTAATAATTTCAAAATTTATTTAATAAATATTAGTAAATAACTGCCAAAAATACAATTATAATATATACAGGGAGTATAAATAAATGGGTAACCAATTGAAAATACTAAAATGTTTTATTTTGATAATGCTGTTTTTTTTATAAATTTTTTCTTTTATGTGGAATTATTTAAAAAGTAATAAGAAAACAAGTTATTCAAAATAATCACTATTGTATTGTGTAAAAGAGTTTTGACGTTTTTTCCGCATTTGTTTATATGGATTTTTTCATAAAATGATTTCAAGTGTTACCAACTAAAATGAATCCACACTGTTTAGGAAATACCCTGTATACAGGGTGTCCCACTTAAAATAGCTCTCGGCTGTATCTCGGAATGTATTAGCCGTAGGGGCTGCGGAAAAAAATATTTATTATTGTGACGGGGTTCCGTTACATTTATTTTGTGGGGTGTCGAACCATAAATTTTGTGACAAAACTCGAAGAATTTATGGTTCGACACACCACAAAATAAATGTAACAGAACCCCGTCACAAATTGGCGCCCAACGTGGGGCTCCAATTTGTGACGGGGTTCCGTGACATTTATTTTGTGGGGTGTTGAACCATAAATTTTGTGACAAAACTCGAAGAATTTAACAAACACTTTTATTAATAAACTCCCTCGCTCTCTTGATAATGGACTCGTCCGATCGGTCCGGTCCAAGAGGGGCGCTATATAATAATTCTGTGTTACATTATGCCTTTATTATTTGAAATAGTTAAAGTCGTTGGCATTTTGGAAAGGCAATCAAAAGATAAAAAACGCTGATAAGACTATCAAAATGTTGATCTAATAACAATTTGACATTTATACTATTACGTCAAAAGCAACTTTTTTCCAAAACCTACCATGACTTCACTGAGACGTCGTTTCTTATTAACTGTTTATAATATCTTAATTATTAGATATTAATACCTCTGGTATTATGGTATTCTGGTATTTCGTCGATTGTAAAATAAACTAACTGTTTCTATCTTATTTTTTGTTAGAATGGGCATAATTAAGAGGGCTACTGATACCGTGTTATAAAAATAAGGTATAATTATGGATTTTTTTGGTATTTATTATAATTTTGAAAGAAGATATCAAGATGCGGTTTTTGCTGACTTTTTAAGTTTTTATTACTCTTTACTATCAGCTAAAATTACATACTATTGCATTTAATTTTTTTGAAAAAACGCGCAATGTTTGTTAAATTGTAAAACAACGCCCTCTACCGTCTACGTTCAAAAGCTTATTATTATTGTTTATATGGTACAATATAGAGTAAGAAACGCTCTTTTAAACGAGCCCTCGCTTGTTGGATTCCTATCATCCAGTCCAGAGTTATTAATATTTAAATAAAAATAGATCTAACCTCCCACCACTTTATTTTGGTAGAAAGGGGAAAATGGCTCTAACAAAAAATATTCAAAATTTACTGAAGATTATGAAGCTATTACTCATAGTTCACCTTATCTAGGCAAGATTGGGTAAAAACTCCATTTTCTTATTTTTTGTTGCAGTTGCGCCCCCTAGCGGTCGTTCTACATACTTAAAAATAATTTCCAGTAGTTTCTCACAGCTCTTTTAGTATAAATATTTTTTTCCGTAGGCCCTACGGCTAATACTTTCCGAGATACAGCCGAGAGCTATTCTTAGTGGGACACCCGGTACATATCAAATCCAAGCTTCTTCAAAAGGTCAACTATATTTTTTACTTATTTAAGTAAAACTTCATAGATTTTTTTCTGTCAATATTTTACTTTTTTCTGTTTTGTTAAGTTGTTACAAAATACCTTTTAAAATAAACTCCATATTTAGGTACTTTAAAGCTTTATTTTAAATTAATATTTTACACAGTATTTATTATTAATCAGTACATAAGAACAAAATCAGCACTAATAATACAAAGAACAAAATTTCAAACATATGCTAACAATTTAAAATACATTTATACAGAATAATACATAGACTAGAATAAAGAACAAAGATAATTATAATTTATTATTATTAATTAGTCTTTCAGAGTATAAGTTGGCTTTATATTAACTCAAATAATACCTAAAGAAAAAAATATTTATAAACATGATTTTAATTTCATTTTTTAATAGCATTTTGTAGAAAAAAAAATTTAACTTAAAATTTAAACAACTTAAAAATAAACTGTACAGGGTGTCCCATTTTCGTGTGTTTTACAGGGTTTCTAGCTTATAAGTAGAGGTACAAAGATGCGGTTCTCACATTATTGTGCTCATTTTTTTATGAAATTAAACATGCTATGCACAGCTTTGTTCCTAAAATACAGGGTGAATTTGAAAATGTCGTATTTTTCGACATCCTGCATCTTTATTGTTATTTCGTTTATGTAACAGCATCTTTATACTCATAAACGAAAAACTCCATATGACTCATGAAAATGGGACACCTTGTACTATACAAGGTTATCCCGTATATTTTAACCAATAAAAATTTTCATAATTAAACTTCATCTTAAAACCAATATTTACGGAGATAGCTATAGGCTAAAACATACACCAACACCCTGTACTATATCAACAATTCAGCAATGCTTGCTTATACTATATACAGGGTGGTCCGAACTGTATCCCGGAAACTTCGGCAGCGTATCTTGCGATAAAAATAAGTAAAAAAGTTCGTATAAATGTATGTGCTAAAATGCTTAATTTCGGAGATACAGGGTATAGAAGTTTCAATTTTATTTCGATTTTTTCCAAATAATCTCTGAAGTAACGTTAATATTTGGATGAAAATTGGCGGCTGGGAGTTTTTTGACATGAGAAATTTGATTTTGATGTCAATATGACTCCTACTTCTAGAGGGCGTCACCTATATAATTTTTAACTAGTTTGAAGAGTAATAACTTTTCGTCTGTACCTGTATAAAACTAGTGAGTAAAAAAATATACATTTACGAAGTTTTTTACGTAAAAAATGGTCTCTTGGTAAAAATCGCTACAGGTAATGGTTCCCGAGATATTTAAAATCGAAATTATCAATACATGCCATCATTGACATAAATTAAACTTGTTGACTAAATAGTTATTAGACTAAAATCATAAATTTGACATGTTTTTGTGCCAAAAGTTCAATAGAAACTGTTTTATCATCATTTTTCAAAAAAAAAAAATTATGATTAATTTAAAAAAACAAAAGTTCCAAAATTTATCAGTTCAATCAAATAACTATCTAATCAACATGTTTATTTTTAGTCAATAATGACATGTATTGACTATTTCCATTCCAAATTACCAGAGACATTTTTTACGTAACAAATTACGGAGGAGTATATTTTTTCACTCAGTAGTTTTATGAAAAGTTATTTCCCTTCAAAACAGATAAAACACATGTAGGTGGCGCCCCCTATAAATAGGAGTCATATTGACATCAAAATCAAATTTCTCATGTCAAAAAACTCCCAGCCACCAATTTTCATCCAAATATTGACGTTATTTCAGAAATTAATTGGAAAAAATAAAAATAAAAATGAAATTTGTAAACCCTGTATCTCCTAAACTAAGCAATTTAGATCATACATTTATACGAACTTTTTTACTTATTTTTATTTGCAGAATATGTTGCCGAAGTTTCCGGAATACAGTTCGGACCACCCTGTATATAGTCTCTTACCACTCTAACAACTCTTGTGCTTTTTCCTGTAGAAATTTTGCGGTTTCAGTCTGTTGCACATGACTCAAATGTACGTGGGGGAGTCCTTGAGGCTGCAGCCGCAAGCTTGACAAATTTTAGCGCTTTTGGGATTCACCAGAGTGCATTTCGAGCATTCGGCACCGCCCACTTCGATAGGTTTATCTTGGGAGATTTTGCGACTTTTGCTGCATATTTCGCAGATGTCTTTGGACATGTTGTTCAGGTACGTGCAAGATTTGCATTCCCATTTAGGAACCGAGGCTATAAACAAGAATAAAGAGACTGAATATTGAAAAAAAAAGGTCACAAAAGAACCCAAAATACAGTATTTGGGTTCATTTTCAGGCTTGGTGCATTTCAGTTGACTTCAACAAATTCCGACCGCAGCGCACTCTACGGCAGAAATCAGAAATTATCAATAGTTCACGCCGCCGTCATGTCGATCGCATTAAAATAATATTGAAATTGGGGTTTTGTCTTAATATTTAAGTATTTTAGTTTTTCGCTAGTGCAGTTATTGAGACAATAAAACATTCACGTACGAGGTTTGTGTGATGTAACGCTGTTTCCGGTAGTAAAAAATAAGCGAAAAAGAATTCGAACTAGGCGTCTTGTTGTATTGTGACAATTTCAAATGTTAATAAAACTGCCCAAAAAAATGTTAACGCGTCAAGGAGAGCGTAATTAGGGCGTTGTTGGGTGCAATAACATTCAATAACTCAACTTTCCCGGATATACAACTCTCCCGAAACAATATTTTATAGCTTCATAATTTCTTACACCGATTTGATCAATAGCAAAAATGGATTCAAGCAGTTCGACCTCTATGAGTTCGACGAAACAAGTTAAGCCGCGTACACACTTAGCGAACGCATACGTTCTACGCACACATGCGGTGATTTTGTTTGAAGTACTTTTTCGCTGTTCGCTGTTACGTACACACTTAGTAAACGCATCATACATCTGTTTGCGTGCGGTAGTATTCCCTTTGAAGTACCGCTAAGTCCGTGAACGCAACCGCACGCGAACGTATGCGTTCGTTGCTACGTACACATTTCCCGAATTCATTCATTCTAAGCCATGCGGCCGTATGCGTTCGCTAAGTGTGTACACAGCTTTAGTAAACAAAGTGCTCGTTACATAATCAAAAAATTAAATAGACAGACATATACTATAAGAGGATGAAATATAATTTGCAATATTAATGGTATACTTTTTTTAATCATCTAGTGATTAAATGTTTTATGTACATCTTCTAAAATTATAATTATCTACCTTTAAAAAATGTCGTTATAGCCTAAATAGCTCCAATTATGCCCCACTACTAGCAAAACCGGTGATAAAATTATGCACGTTACCGTAGTTGAACTCATCTAAAAAATTTTTTTAACTGGAATAGTAAATTATAATGCAAGTTAAACCTTCTGAAGATATCAAAATATTTGCCTTTTTATATTTTTATTTAGAATTTCCACAAATTATACCTTCTTACACTTTTAGAATAATTATATACTAATTTTTTCGTTTAATCGCGATTTAAACCGGTGGTGGCAGCACCGGCGAAGAATGCACCACGCATATAGTCTCTCTAAAGAGAGTTGTCTGTGAATGACAGATAACTCTCACTGTCAGGGAGTCTCCCATTGGACAGACTATATTTTATAGTGTATTAAAAATGAGAGCTCTATGTCACTGAAACACTTTTCTCATATTTGTTTGACATGGCTTAAACCATTTATTGAAAAACTTGAATTTATGCAAGTTAGTTACACGTTTCTAAGATTATTTTTTATTATTTATTGTTTATTTCATAATAGATTTTAAGAAAAGTAAAGAAAGCTACAAGAGGTTGAAGTCTTCATTTTTTTCGATGTATTATCATTTTTTTCCAAGTGCTTTTAGAGATTCAAATGAAATTTGGCAGGTAAACGTTACCATCAGTGCTACATATTTTAATGCTAAAAAAGTGTCGACAGGTTCACCAGGGACGTGCATATGGGAATATTAAAAAAACATGTGCGCCACTGACTTTTTTTTATTTTAATATCAGAATTTTATTGTGAAGCCCGTTTAATGTCAATTAAAAGTTATCTCTCGATATTTTGTCGAATTCGATCCTCTTGATGAGATAAACGCAATTTTATTAATCACAATTAATAAAATTAAAATACAAATACAATTAAGAAATTATATATTTTACCTAATTTATTATTAAATATTATTACTATTAGGTATTATTCCTATTAGTCCAACATAAAGCAATTTTAAATAAAAAATAATGGTACTTTTAAGATAATTACAAAAACCTAATTTTAAAAATTTTAACATCCTGTAACTCTAAAACTATGCATTTCCATACCCATGTTTACAGGAACTTTTTTTTCATATTTTTGATGAAGAATCAATGAGTACTTATTTAAAACTCTCGCAAATTAATGATATTATAACTTTTTAAAGGTTGCTATTAGATTTGAATCCAGGAAAATTAATAAAATTGCATTTATCCCATCAAGGAGGCCGATATTGACAAAATATCAAGAGACAACTTTTAATCGGCATTAAACTGCTAAAACTATTTCGTTAACAAAAAAAAGTCAGTGGCGTACATGCTTTTTTTTAGAAAAATATTTCAGTGAGCCCATATTCACGTCCCTGTTGAATATGTCGACACGTTTTTAGCTTTAGAATATGTCGCATTTATAGTAACTTTTACTCTTAAAATTTCATTCGAAACGCTAAAAGTACTTGGAAGAAAATTATAATAAATCGAAAAAATTAAAACTTTAACACCCTGTAGCTAAGAAACAAAAGCAGAATCGGACCTATGTTGATACGAAAAATAAATCTTATTTTTATGTGAGAAATCTCTCTACGAGAGATGGCACGAGTTTTTGAAACAACCTGTATGACTCAAAATAACAATTAAATCACTATACTTACGTTTCTCTTTTACAATGGTACTTTCGGCTGCATTAGCTATGATTGGATTGTGTTTTTCCGGCTTTTCTTTTGGAAGAGTTTTAGACTGGACAGAACTACTTTGCGTTGGTTTTAAATTCGAAGGTTTTGTAGCAGTTTCACTAGACGACACGTTTTCGTAGAAACTGCCATGCGAGTGTCTTCTTTCTCTGGGTGTAGTAACTTCTAAAATAAGCAAAACAAACTTTTAAATAGAAAATATCATTAATTGTTATTTCAAAGACCAGTATGGCACCATTTTTTTCGATTGTATGATTTAAATTACTCACTTTCAACAGACTTCTGTTCCATCTTCTCCAAAGCTTCTGTGATCTTCAAAGGTCGGTCAGCGATCGCTAGATTGTTCATGGCTTCGTCCAAGTTTGTTATTTTCATTTTCCTGGGCTCTCTAGTGTATTTTCTTTGCTTATCAGTAGCATTAGCAAGAACATCACCTCTCTCACCTAAGTCTTTACTATAACTATAAAAAAATAACTCAAAATCATTTTTAAAATGTTTGGTTTATTTGGTTTAGAATATACAGGGTGGTCCGAATTTTATTCCGGAAACTTCGGCAGCATATTCTGCAGAGAAAAATAAGTAAAAAAGTTCGTATAAATGTATGTCCAAAAATGCTTAGTTTCGGAGATACAGGGTGCCGAAGTTTCATTTTCATTTCGTTTTTTTGCAAATAATTTTTGAAGTAACGTAAATATTTGGATGAAAATTGGTGACTAGGAGTTTTTTAACATGAGAAATTTGATTTTGATATCAATATGACTCCTATTTGTAGGGGGCGCCACCTACATGTGTTCTAACTGTTTTGAAGAGAATAACTTTTCGTCCGTACCTGTATAAAACTACTGAGTAAAAAAATATACATTTCCGTGATTTTCTACGTAAAAAATGTCTCTTGGTAAAAATTGCTGCGAGCAACCGTTTTCAAGATATTTAGAATGGAAATAGTCAATACGTGTCATTATTGCCAAAAAATAAGTGTTGGGTAGATAAATTATTTGTGACTGAAATAATTATTTTTTTTTATAAATTTTTCTTCGAAAAAATGATGATAAAACAGTTTCTGTTGAACTTTTGGCACAAAAACATTTCAAATTTATGATTTCGGTGTAGTAACTATTTAGTCAACATGTTTAATTTATGTCAATTATGACAGGTATTGATAATTTCGATTCAAAATATCTCGAGAACTATTACTCGTAGCGATTTTTTAAACTATTTTAGGACATTTTTGACTTATTTTTATCTACAGAATATGCTGCCGAAGTTTCCGGAATATAGTTCGGACCACCCTGTATATTTATGTTAACTTTTATTCACTTTTAACATTATTAGGTAATTTACCTTTTTATATATTTACTATTTTATATATTTTCCGGGCTAAAACTTTAATTTATTTTGCAAAAATGACATATACACAAAAGAATGACAGAAGACTGGTCAGTCAATGACAAAGTCAGACAAAGATAATTAATCACATAGTCGAATGTCGTTGATGTGTCTTCAACAAAAATGAAGCGAATTCACTTATCCACGAAGTTTATAAGATCTAAGGCAGTATTTGTCCAATGATAGAATTTTGACAGTGACAATTCTTGTTTGTCATTTTAATATCAAGGTAAATTATTTTTGTATCAATTTTTAGATATCACCTATAGAAATAGTCCTTTATCTCACGTTGGACAGATATTACATAGTCTAATTAGAACTGGCATTGAGTTCCAAAAAAAACAGTAGTAAAAATAGTGTATATTTAATCTGAGGTCAAAATGACATAGAATATGACACATTTTATAACCTGTCACTTACCCTTGTTTCTCTAAATCCCTATACACATAATCCCAATCATTCCCCGCGGCATGTTTATCCTCAGAAACATGTTCAAACCCGTTCTTGACCATGTCCCCGTTCCTTAACACGTCCGGTTCCACAGTGACGGCGGAATTCGTTCTGGACCGCCTGTTTTTCCAGCCGCTAGCGCCATCTACCGTGTCAAATTCGTTTCTACCATCCAGTTCGATCAACTGACCAGTGGGTACCGAGTACATGGGTGCCATGGGCGGTACCGTGTTACCGTAAAAGTACCCGTTGGGCACCATGGGTTGGTGGACCGGTTGGTTTACGATGGGGATGTGTGCGGAGCAGGGGACGTAACCATAAGGTACGTACGCCGCTGGACAGCAGAGTGGTACTAAAACAATGATAAAAATTAATTAAAAAAATTCCTTGTTTTGGAGAATATTTCCACTTATTGGTAACGCTGTTTCACAATAAATAAATAAATGCCTTTATTGTCAAAAAATTTTACAATTTTTAGACAAAGGTAAGTAAACAAACAAACAAAAAGAATACAAAACATTATACAAATTACATTGTCAGTCTTATTGTTTAAAATAAACATTTATAAATGTTTACAATGTCAAAGAATAAAAAAATAAAAATAAAATTCAAAAATATTTAGTAAGTTTATAATAAATATCAATGAACTCTAAATAAATTTATTTCGATGTCATTGGTAAATATACTAATAGCAAACACTAGACCAGTGTTTACAAGATCAAATTCGATTATCAAAATATAAGTCATTTACGGCGTAGGAAACCTTGTCCAGTAAATAATATTCCAATGCTTTGCGAAATGAACAAAATTATGTTATGGATTTGATTTCAAATGGCAGGTGATTGTGCATTTTTTTCGAGTTGTATAATATTGAACTTTTAACTAACTCTGAGCGTGGGGTATGTAGATAAAGATGTTGCTCCGCGTTCCTGAGTGGATAAGTGTGAGATGGCCTTTCTTGAGAAGCTGATACATGCTTACGTATTAGGCAAACGGATTCAAATATAAATAAGGAAGGAAGAGTTAATATTTTTAATTTTTTAAAAAAGTCCGGGCAATGAGTTCTGCTGTTAAGTCCCAGTGAATATCGAAGAGCTCTCTTCTGGAGCTTGAAAATGCGGTCAAATTGAGTCGCACAACACGCATCCCAGAATGGTAGGGCGCATATATGAGGTGCGACTCAAAAAGTGCATAATAAACAGTTCTAGCCACTGACAAGTTAAGCTCCTTAGAAACAGATCTTAATGCAAAACAGGCAGAGCTTAATTTTTTCGACAAAGCGATTATTAAAGAATATCACCGAATTTGGGGAGATACCTATACATAATGAATAACAGAATAGATACGAGTATTTGACTGCTTTCGAGAAACCATAATTCTGTATACAGGGTGTCCCAATATTCCGTGAACACACAACTACTACGGTAATCGCACAACATTGTCCGATGCACGTCATCAATCATGTCCAAATTAACACTAAAGCCTATAAACCTGACTAAATTAAATTTTGGCAAAAATGTATAAAATTTGTTGTATAATTTAAGATACCGAGCAGCTCTTCATTTTACTTTATGGAGCAAATTATTGTAAGAGATATTTTATTTAGATAAAATTCCTCTGCGAGCCAAACTGAACTAAGCCAAGCGAAGATAATATTTTTAAAAATCAGCTCCCATAGTTTTAAATGCACCAGCGGCCACTTGAGCGAAACTAAACGAAAATATGTCAACGAAGATTCAAATCGTAGCTTAAGTTTCGCTCGTTTTAGTTCGTGACAGGTTCTAGCAAACTTTTCGCAGCGATTAGTTCTATGATAGCAGAGACACAATACGAAAACGCAGCTAACTTAGCTGACTACTAAGCGAAAATCGTTCCCAGTGACCGATGAAACTTATTTTCGTTTAGTTACCGTTTCTTTCTATATTCTTGGCTTAGTTTAGTTTCGCTCGCAGTGGCCGCTCGCCTTAAAGGCGGGAACGACTTTCGCTCAGTAGTCAGCTAAGTTTTCGTATTGTATCTCTGCTATCATAGAACTAATCGCTGCGAAAAATTCGCTGGAACCTGTCACGAACTAAAACGAGCGAAACTAAACTACGATTCGAATCTTCGTTCATATATTTCCGTTTGTTTCGGTCAAGTAGCCGCTGACGCATTAAAAAGTATGGAAGCTGATTTTTACAAATCTTATCTTCGCTTAGTTTAGTTTCGCTCGCAGTGGCCGCCCGCCTTTAAGCTGCAAAAATTAGTTTAAAGCGATTTTTATTATCGCCATGTTGGCCATATTGCGCCCCGAGCAGCAACGTTGTCGTGCATTATTTGACAATTATCATAATGTCAGTTATTATCTTGTTATTATTTCTCGTTTTTTGCCGATTTTCATAGTTTTTTTTAAAAAATTGTACTTTTAAGCACAAACAGTTCTTTTAAGATCTATTTGATTTTTTGTATTGCATTTCTTGAAATTGTGTGTTGAAAATATGCCGAAGCATTTAAACAGTCGAAGCAAAGAGCTTGTAGCTTTCCTGATAAACTATTTTGAACGAGAACGTGACAATAAAGGTCCTTGATTGCAGCCAGAGAAGTAAGTTTGATTGGTAAGCACCATTATACCACTTTCAAAGTTATTTCTACTTATTTCGATTTGTAGCAAGTAGCTGCTGTTTTAAATTTAAATATTTCTACTGTGAGTGTTAGTGACTACTGTTAAAATAAAAATATATTATAAAAATAAGACGTAAAAATTGTCAAAAAATGATATGATAAAAATATATTATTTCCCAATTTTACATTAAAATCATCTCATAAATCCATCACAATCTGGCAGCGCTGTCGCCATCGCTTGTCACTCAAAGTTGATCACGTGCATCGGAAATTTTGTACAAAATTTTTCTACAAAAGTTTTTTTGTAAAATTTATTTCACCAAAACAGACTTATAAAATGTGCAGTGAGCAGGGTTCAGAAAACTACATGTTACTTTTAAAAACTACATTACATGTAGTTAATGTAGTTTATGTAGAGGGTGTAGTTTATGTAACCTATGTATGTAACTTTCAAATATCAAAGGTTTGAGGTGAGGTTATAATAAGTTGAAGCTTTAAAAACACATAATGTATTTAAGAAAACAGAAGAAATATGGCTTTAAATATAATATTTACATCATATTATCTCTATTACACTTCATACAAAGGAAAATTATTTATAATATCAATACGTAGTTTATTAACGTAGTTTTCATATAGTTAATGAAGGTGAAAAGACGTAGTTTTTGAAGAAAAACTACACGTAGTTAATAAGGTAAATTACGTCTTAATTAACTACTTCCGAACCCTGACAAGGAGTTCTAATTTTTAACTCTATGGGGAGTTCCAATAATCCGTGAACATAGAACAACTAGGTAATTTCTGAATCAAAATTTAAAATAATAAATTAGAAAAAAAAATTAAAAAAATAATGTTAATTGCACATAATTTACCTTTATACAAAAATGCTTCTTTGTCCATTAGAGTGCTTTACTTTTTTATTACTTCTTTAAACTTTTTATAAAATATAAAATAAAAAAATAAATACTTTGAGCTAAATGTTTCTTAAAAGTCATATATATATATATATTAAAAAAAAATATATTTTCACATAAATAAACAAATTACAAACGTAAATATTTACCTTGCTGTACTGGTACAGTATGCCTATGATGAGTAGGTGAATTCACATAATTGTAGGCAGGTGGAATACCCAACTGTGTACTTGGTGAAGTGGGATGGAAAACATCCTGTTCTTTCACAGTCTCTGGTCGAAACCTATATTTCAAATTCCTTATACACTGATCTGGATTCCCTGAGTAACTCCTGCGATACTCTAATATATCCAACCAACTAATATTAGCCAGTATTGATACTTCTTCCCAAATGTGTTTCAGAATCTATAATTTACATTCTTTATTTCTTATTTCGTTAAATAAATAAATATTTACCATACCTGACATTCTACATATGCAACCAAACAATCCCGTGACACATTAGCTACTTCATCCGGACACACCGGACCTTCCAAAGCTAGAATTCCATTTCCTATGTGTCTGTAACCCATTGACTCAAACATTCTCTCAGCTCCCAGAAGATTGGCTTCAATTTGATGTTTATAGAACCCACAGTATGTCTAAGTAAATAAGTAAACTAATACAGTTCAATTTAAAGCTACCTCTGTCTTACTTTTATCTGTCGGTACTCTCGTCTCCACGGTTGTACCAGCAAATTCCCGGCGTAGACCTGTAAGGCGTTCCAACCTGTTGCTGCTTTGTAACCACTGAACCCCTTCTTGTGCGCAGCTGAACGATAAAGAACTTCCTCTGTTTCTCTCAATAAGAACTTCTGGTTGTGTCCTACTGCACTCAAAAACTCCACAATTGCATCTAAAAACGTCGGGCAATCGCTATTTCTTATTGTTCTATTAATAATAATTGTAATTGTATATACCTTCCAATTTAGCTCTATGATCAAGTTTCTCTGGGCTCTCTTCCATATTAAGATAACTTAAATGAAGACGATCTATAGTCATGGATAGTTCTCCGATCTGATTTTGGGAAAAGTAGCCCTCCATGATAACCATACTCCTTTTATTTCCCCAGTTTTGATAAATATAGAAATAGTTTGAAATGACCTCCACTTAGAAATTACTCAATTTCATCGCAAACAACTGGAAATAAGACTTTTAAATTATGCAATCTTGTAGGGAATATAAAATTGAAGACTTACCTCACAATAAAAAAGCATTATTTACGGGTTTTCCCCTATAATTTATTTATTTTATTTGGAATTTGAACAAATATTATTTTTTATATTAAACTGACATCTCATTAGTCAACAATGACCTTCCATACCATATGATCTGTGTTAAGGCCCTTTTACAAGCGATCACTTTTTGAACTATTTTATTTTACTTTCTACAATAACTTACTTACAAATTACATTTTTGTTAGTTAATATGTGAGTTTATCTTCATGTCTTATTAATCATTTATCACAATTATCATAATATAGTATAAAATAATATTTAATTTAAAAAATACATAAATGTTCTGAACCAGCATTTAGCATCTCTTCATCTGTCAAAAGAGTTTTGATTTTTTTTTGAGGTTAAGAATTATTAAACAATGTCTAGAAATAAAGGTAGAAATAGGAAATTTAGGATAATTTTAAATAAAAATAATGGTTAAATTCGGTTTCCTCAATATATTTTATAATTTTAGCTAGAAACAAGCCACGAAAGAACAAAACTTATGTAGGAGAACAAGCCAAAGAAGCTTTATGTTCTTTAGATGAAGACAGCCCAGTAATCCAAGCTTTTAGATCGTTTTCTTTTGAACTGGATGATAAACATGACCGTTATGAAAGAATTGTGAAACTAAATAGAGATATAACAATTGAGTCAAAGAGAATAATTTTTTTATTGCACAGTACACAGGTAGATTTGTGAGTACTAATGTTTTAGGCCGTTACCTTTTTGTGTTTACTAATTTTTCTTCATGTAGTGAAGCAAAGAAGATTGCTATTTTAGAGGAGGCAGATTCAAGACTTAAAAGCTTATGCCAAAACAATTTTAAAGCTATTGCTTTAGAATTAAGGAGCCACGATCCTTACTTATATCACCGAGCTTTTACCAGTGGCTTGCAAGAGTTTATAGAAGCTTTATGTTTTTATCAGTTCACAAAAAATGAATGTTTTGATAATTGGAAGATAATTAATGGAAATTTCCAGTATACCGATGATACAGAAGCAAGTTACAGTTTGTTGTTTAGTCAGTGTGATTTTGTTTTGGGAATAGCAGATTTTACAGGGGAACTAATGAGAAAATGCATTAATAACTTAGGAATAGGAAATATCAGTGAGTGTTTCAAGATTTGCAATTTTGTAAAATCGATAAATACAGGATTTCTAGGTGAGATATTGATTGTAAACAGTTACCTACTATATTTTATATAAAATTAAACATATTTCAGGATTGATCCATGCAGGAAACAAGGAAATTTCAAGGAAAGTCTATACTTTGAGACAAAGTTTGAATAAAATGGAATTGGTGTGCTATAATATTCAAATTAGAGGCAGTGAAATACCAAAACATATGTTATTGAATGTTTTAGATTCCCATGATATTGAAAATAATGAGGATGAAGGATTTTGTATGTAATATTGTATTTCTACTTTTGATTTTTTTTTAATAAAACCTATTATTAAACAGTTTTTGCGTTTTTATTTTATACTGTATACTAATACAATCTGTGGTTTTATTGATAGTACTGGTACCCATATAGCTTGCCCATATAGTACCGTATGCATATGATCGAATAAAAACGGCGTCAGCGATGGCTATCAAATGAAGATCGCTGTCATTTTATATGAGAAATGTCATCGATCGTCATTTCCAAGCATTTATTTCCTAAAAATGCCAGTATATTATTAATGAAAAAAATAGAACCAGTTCTTTAGTTTTTATATTTAACTTTGTATATCTGGTTGCATATATGTATAATTTTGGCGGCAAAATTTTGAGTTGATCAAACTAATCAAACTGTTATGGATTCAAGAACATGTAAAAAATTCCACAGTTTATTTACTTTAGATATAGATAGATGATATACTTTACATATAGATTAATTTTAGATAAACAATCTAAAATACTATGAAAATTATCAGTTGATATCTATTAATTTAGAATAGTTTTTTTTTCTTCCATTGTGATAGTAAAATCGATTTCGATTGGAACATAAAAAACGAGTTTTTTTGAGATTATATATTTAGAATTTTAATTAAAAAATATAAAGTATAAAAAATGTGAATGAATAACTAGAAAATAATTATAATAAAGGTAATAGAAAATGCGAAGAGAAAATAAATAGGAGAAAACTAATTAATAAAGAGTAAGTAAAAAATACTTTTACGTTTTGTCTTTTTAAAAGAAGATAATTATTGTTATGTGCTAGTAGTCCTTTATAAATAAAATAAATAAATAAATATATCCTTATTTATTTCTAGAGTTTGCTAGAGATAAAGTATATACTAGGAGTCTATATTACTCTATACAGGATGTCCCACTTAAGATGGATACAAGGCAATATCTTGGTTGTTTGTTGAGCGATATTTTTCATTTTTGGCAGGAGGCTGTATGGCTATAAGACGTACATTTTGCCCAGGGTAAGAAATGCGATACCCCATAGACGTACGTTTTAATGGGGTTTGATATTTTTCGAGTCAAGAGTAAATAACTACCCTTAGGACAGTATTTATTTCAAATCTGATAAATTATATTGAATCCTCCTTACCCAAGATACTTAAGTTCTAATTTTGACAAATATTGATACAGGGTGTGTTATTAAAATAAGACATTTTTATTTTTATTAATAAAAAAATAATTATTTAACGTTCGCAACGTTAAATAATTTTGATATTTGATTTTTATCGTGATGGTTTTTTGTAAAAGTGAAGAATTTAGTGAGGAAAATATTAATGATGGATATGAACGTGTGCGGATTCGTGATTGGACACGATCATGGTCACGACACTATGACGAGCTCCTATACCCACGTAGGAGCCCAAAATATGCAAAAAGGGGGTCAGTTTAGCTTACGTTTAGATTAGGTCTATATTTTTTATTAATGTAAAACCAACTAAAACCTAATTCTAATCTAACCTAAACTCACTTCTTCTTTTGCATATTTCGGGCTATTACCTGGGTATTCCTAGGTTTAACCAATATTCGAAATTAGGTGTAAATTTAAATTTATGGATGCCCCATAAATTTATATTTGCCGTACAAAAAAAAAATACTTTTCACCAATTTTCACAATAAAAATTAAAAGTTATAAATCATAATATTTTTTATAGAAATGAGGGAATAAGGGTGAACGGGGTGCCGCGCCGGTAGACCAAGAAGATACTTGGAATGTAAATGTTAATTTATACTCGAATGGAGTTGCCTCACAGTATAGGCATATTTTGAACCCCTACCGTGCATAGTTACTGTAGAAAAATAAATTAAAATACATATAGTTGGCTCCAACGATAATTTAGTTTGCAGCTTCTTTTCATCATACCTAATAAAAAACCGTCACAACCACTACTCATAGTATGTACCTATGTATTTTTAAACATAATTATGAAATTAAAAATACATAGGTGCCCATAATATGAGTAGCGGTATTTTTTTTTTTCGTTTCATCATAACGGATTTTGTTGTGCTGAAAATAAGCAGCAAAATATATTATCTATTGCAACAACTATACCTAGTTTACATTCAATATGTCCAATTAATATAGAACATTATAACTATACATACTTTTGAAAATTTGCTACCAATATATTTTGATAGTTGAGTTTTTGAAATTATTTGTTAGCTTCTTAAACAAAACAGACCCATAATAATTCAAATCTTTATCATTCAAGACTTCCAAGAATTATGAAGTAATCTCACGTCAAAATTTTTAAAAATTATTGCATGCCTTAAGTATTTGCAAAGTTAACAAAAATATTTCTTTGCATACCTTGCAATTAATATATTTAATCCAATTTATCAGTTCTGCATCATATCCGAAATTTAGATTGTGTGTGACACAACGAAGGAGGAATACAATAATTGTAAAACAATAATTGTAATAACTGTAATACAATAATTGTAAAACACGTATGTAATAATAACTCGGAATAATATAATAATTATTTAAAACTGCTCATTGCGTTATCGATGTCGGCCTCTTTTGTCACTTTTATTTAGTCCTGTCACCTGTCACTATTATTTTATTAGCCGTTTGGGTATAGTTTGATTTCAGATAATGCAGATTTTAATGTGCCATTTGTGGTTTTTTTATTGGATTTTTTTTGCATATTTGGTATATTCTATGAAGTGATTTTAAGTGCTCCTGACCATTTTTCAATCATTAAAGTGCTTATTTAGATACATTTAAAATGAATTAATTAGTGTATAGTATTTGTATTAGTTTATTTTTTATGAAATGTATTTTTTCCCATTAAAATAAACATAGCTTACTAGATCACTAGCTGGCCATTTTTAAATACAGGGTGTTAATTAAGTATCTGGCCAAAATTCAGGAGGTGATTCTTTGAGTGTTTTAAGGTAAAAGGTTCATATAAACATGTGTCCGGAAATGTATAATTTTAAAGATACAGGGTGTCAAGGTGTTTTCTAATAGACCTTTTTTATTAATATCCCAAAGATCCGTTGACCGATTTTGTTGAAATTTCGCCATGTTGTGAACTTTGATAAGTTAGCGCTAAATTGAAATGATAATTATTATTTACAACAATATTCAAAGGATAAAATCTTATCCCAATAAATATTTGGCAACGCCTTGGATTCATGTGTTTTTACGCCGGTGGAAACCATGCAAGCTTTTTCTTTGGCCTAAGTTGTTAATAAAAAAATAATAATCATTCCACTCTCTCATGTATAATTTGTCCCTTGCTTCTCATACGGAAAGAGTTAGATTAAAATAGCCAAACTGAACCTAACAACCCATATGCCTTGACGCATATTCTTTTTTATAATAATATGGGCTTTCTTTATCCGCCGGCCCAGACAAACATCCATATCCATAAAATAGTTGTCCCACACACACACGTCCTTCGATGATCAACGCCGGCTAAACTATCGACTTACGTGTTGACAAGTTGATTAGGCAGGTTATTGAACTCGTGTGGCATCGAGCATATCGTTTTTTCAAAGATGGGTCCCATATAAACGCGGCCAGAAGTATTTTCAATACTAAAAAGATTTAAACTTTCTGTAGCTACGAAACAGAAAAAAAAAGGAAAATCGGACCCAGTTGATATTAAAAATAAATCTTATTTTTACGTCAGGATTTACGTACGAGAGATGATACAGGTTTTTTGAAACACCCTGTATAAACAAGGACTGTACTTCAAAGACGCCTGCATGTCGATTTTAAAATTTATTATTTCTGTTCGATTTTCAGTTACATATATCGAGATATACATATAACAAGTACATAGTACAAATTATAAAGGTACTCCAAAAATAACCGATTTGCGTCAATGAAACTTCTTATACAGGGTGTCCCAATATTTATTTAACATAGAACTACTACGTATTTTTGGAATCAAAGTTCATTGGACACAATTTACCTCTGTACAAAAGTGCTTCATTTGTCCGCTAGAGGGGATCATACTTTAAAAAAATAAATAATTCCTATTTTGGAGTTTATTATACCCAACTAGCAAATATAGTTCCCAATCCTTTTTAAAATGCCACTGCCTCTAAAGTATAGTTCCTAGGCCCAATCTTCCACTTAAAATGTTACTCTATAAGGAATAGTCACTTTAAAGTGTATTTCGAGAGTGACCAGTTAGTGCCTACCTACCATAAAAGTGGAAAATAAACACCCCGATTGCAAGTCGCAAACATGTAATTTAAAGAAGTGGCTGAAACTACCCAAATCTTCGAATATGACACCATAAAACACCAAAAACTTTATAGTAACTTTTCAAAGTAGGGGTTACTAACAAGTGCTACCATAATGCCTCCATTAAGTTTTTGTTACTTTATAGTAACAATTTAAGTTACGGGGTAGTCGCGGCCACGACACCTATTTACTTCTAATTTATAGTAGCATTAAAAGTAGCAAAATGGTACTGCTACCTTCCTAGGTCACTATAAAGTAGCCGTCCCTCATCCATTGCCACTAAAAAGTCACGGGGGTCAAAAATGGCTACTTTATAGTGACTGTAACTTAATATACCCTAATAAATGTAATTGCCTCAGATTGCATCGTGTGCTGCTCTGTTTTAGTGTTTTCTATTACTTGCTTTTAAGCTTTATTAAAATTTTGTAAAATCCTTAAGGTGAATAAAAAGAAATTTAAATATTCTAGTACCGAAGAATTAAACAAAAGGAATAAACATCATAAATCAAGTAGTGACTGAGACATTTTTGAAGCTGCTTCTGTAGATGAGTGTAGTGTTAGTTCATCTGAAACTGAATCTCAGAGGAGAACTAATTTGAGAACCAACAACAATATAAAACAAGAGCTAAAAGAGTGGGCGTTAAAATACTCTTCACCTCATGTAGCTCTGAATAATACAGAAACACTAATAATAGAAAATGCACAATAGGTAAAAAATAACTTCAAAGGACAAGGCGGAACGTTATAGTGGCACCATTGGAATGTATAGTCGCCACTTCCGCGATCGGTGTAGCATAACGCTCCAATTAAATGGCAATTTGGTGGCGCAGGGAACTTTCTTGGAAAAAATCACTTTATGGTTCCAAAGAATCGTTGACCATGTAGTTCCAAAAAAGTTATTGTTTTTATAAAGTCGCCTTTGGATAGCTACAATTGTCACTTTATCAATCCGAAGATTTTAAAGGTCCAAACGCGTAGGGTTGGCCTAATATGTTATTGTTCCCGGTACTTTGTGGAAGCATATGGAACTATAAAGTATTTTTCGGATTAAACGGCCATATTTTTTTCATGAATTTTTAGACGAACAGCCAAATGGCTCAAACATTATGCGTTTTTAAGCTAAATATACCTAGATTACAGCTTTTTTCCTTAGTTATTTTGTTATTATTTCTGACGGTGGAGTAATATTATAAAGTTTGACCCCGGTTTCAAGCAAATTATTATTATTTTTTAATTACACACATGAGTTTCTATTGCAAATAATATATTAATTTGAAATATTTTGAGAGGCGCTCGAAAATTTTGTTATATAAACCCACTATTTTGTTCAGTAAAGTTGATTGAGTTCTGGAATTTACCTAAAAAAGGCGTTAAAATCGCACGGTAAATAACAAATAACGAAAAAATAATAATGGCTTCCATAATTATTTTCCATCATGACATTTATTTTTATGAAATGTGAAATTGCATGAAGAGGTCGCTGCGAATAAAGTTCAACAGTTTAACGAAAGTTCCACATGTCGGTGTGGATAACACTTGGCTGCCACGACCCCGCGACTAGGCAGCTTCGTAATGGATAAGTCGTATTCATCAGTAGGCTACTTTATAGTAACACATCATAGTAACTCTTTTAGTGGCAAAAACTACCCAAGACACTACCCGGCTACTCAAAATCTTTCCCCAGTTTGGTCGCAGTTACTTGGCAGCTACGAATATACGACGTAGCCGCCGATGGTCACCGCCCACTTTGTAGTGGCTTTGATAGTAGCAGTCTGCCACTATAAATGCTAGTTGGGAAGGGACTCGTAACGATAGGTCAAGGTCCAAGGAATATTGGGACATCCTGTATATACTCGGAATTTTGGCGCACATTTATTAAAGATATCGTTACATTTTTTTCAGCGAGCATTTTATAATATAATATGTAATTTACATTTAAGCGTACATGATTTGAATCCTTCAAGTTTGTTTACTAATACTTGTTCGCATACCTACTTCGATTTTCTTTTCGAATATCAGCATGTATTTGTAATCAGCCCAAGATATAAAAATACCACTTAAAAGCGTTCAATAATTCACGCATTTTATAATAATGAAAATAATAATATTAGTGTAATTGATATGATGCAGCTGGGAGGTGTTGTTTTTGTTGTTTTGGGACTGCTGTCCCCCGCTTTTTCCGACGTCGACTTTATAGACTGCGGTAAGTAGAGTTTAATCAACTTTACAGAAATACGTCATTTTTTTAGACGCGGTACTTCAAAAGCTCTTCAACTATTTTGTTTTCTAATTGACATTATAGTTTAACTACAAAAATACAATTATTTTCAAGGTTCATTCAAATATCGACACATTTGTTAATATCATTTTTTTATTTTTTGATTACGCACTAATTGCTTCATTATAGCTATATTCTTGGTCTTGGTTTTGGTCTTGCAGTATAATAAGTAGTCTTGGTCTTGGTCTAGCTGCAGTACTCTTGCAAGTCATGCCCTTTTTAATAGATTTTTATTAGAGAAAGCATTCAAGAGTCCATTTCACTAGACCGAAAAAGTACCAAAATAAGCGTTCGGCATTTAACGTTTTATGTAAAACCGGCTAGGTATTTTTACACAAATGAAGAAGGAAATTAAAGATAAAGCATTATACTAGATCCCTATTGTAGCACATTTTAGATAACTTCTTTATTTTTAAGATTTTGATGGACAAACATCAACAAAATATACCTTATGTTTGGATTAAATTTTCTCGAAAATAAAGACATAATTTAAAATTCCGTTACAATAGGGAAATAGATTGAAGTTTTGTGATTACAGTGATATATAATTTATATGGTTTTGTAATAAGTTGCTCGCTCTTTTATGGCAAATGCTGAAGCTCTGCAAGCCTTGGTAAAGCCTTAATCCAAATTACTTTCTACGATTGTTAATAAAAAAAAAGACAGAGATGCGCACGAAACTCAACAGCGTTGTCATATTTATGCAGCATTTTTAAGTATGTATGATTCTAAACAGAATGGAGTGTTGTATCTCCCTTTTTTGTTAGATGACTAAGCTTTAGGCAGATTTCTGAAATATAATATATATTTCCTTCGGCCGCACACCCCCTTTACCCCTGAAAGCGACTAATAGACTCTTAATACATCGAAAATATTTAAATAAATAGTATTTTTGAAGCAAATGAAACTTTAAAGCAGGAAACAATATTTATCTGATTAAGATTTTGATTTTTCAATATTATTTGTATTGAATCAGCACTGCAATCACACTATTTGCAATAAATTAAAACACTTTTTGTATTATACTAGCTAACCCGGCATACCTTGTTTTGCCATATAAATATTGTTCCAGATAAAAAGTTCCAGATTTTGCCATATAAATACTGTTCCATTGTTCCATTGTTCCAGAAATTGTTGCCATAACTGAACATTGGTTAAATATGGATGAGCTTGTATTTGTCAAAAAATACACTACATTAACTAGATTCAATAGAAGTAACTCATCTCATGGAGGTACTATGATAATGTCTACTAACAACGACTTTTCGGCAGTAACTAAGTTCGATACTCTAATATCCGAAAAAATTTTTGAATTTTCCGTCGTTTATCATAATGCTTTTGACCTCTATATTATTTGAATTTACAGAACACCTGACGCTGACGTACATATTTTCAGTCAAAAATTGCTAAGCTTGCTTGAATCCCTACCTATAAAAAGTAAATTAATTTTGTGTGGCGACCTGAAAATTGACTTTTCCAGTGTGTGTGCAGCTAAGGAGTCTCTCCAGTCCATTTTTCATTCTTTTGGTATACTCATGCATGTTGACTCACCAACTAGAATAACTAAACCTGGCTCTAGTACTATAGACTATGTCGTGTCGTCTTTTGACCCGGAATTCGTTGACTGTAGAGTCCTTCACTCAGGTTTCTCTGATCATGAGGCAGTATTGACAGAGTTTTTGCTAAAATCCAAATGCAAAAATACCTCGCGCAAATTGGGCCGTATTTTTTCGGATGAAAATTTTCTAAATTTTCACCACCTATGTCTAACAACTGAGTGGGTTGTCCTCTCGGCTGACGTCGATTCCGAATTTTCTAGATTTATGGATACCTTGTCTAATCTGGCGTACAAGGCGTTTCCTCTTAGGCCTATCAAAAGTAAACAAGGTATACCCTGGTCTACTACAGGCTTGCGTATATCTGCAAAGAACATGCGCTCATTATCTCCTTAAGAAATTCACGGACAGCGTCTTCTTTCCTAATTACGTGAAACTTTATAGAAAGGTTTATCGTAAGACTATGAAAGCTGCCAAGGACATTTATTATAATGCGAGGCTAGCCAAAGCCGGTAATGTCGCTAAGGAGACTTGGGCTATTGTAAATGACTTAAGGAATAACACTTCTTCGTCTGGCACAGTCTTTAATTCCACCTGAAGATTTAAACACTTACTTTGTTAATGCGGCTAAAAATTTAGTGAACACCATAACTCCTTTAGTATTAAAAACAAATCCTCATCTGGGACTGATGGGCTTACTCTCAAAATGTTCTCTGAACTTCCTGAATGCACATTAAACCATCTTACTACTTTAATTAACGAGTCATTCCAAAATGAAGTTTTTCCAAACTGCCTTAAGACAGCAATAATTATTCTTCTGTATAAAGGAGGTGATAAAGATGAAGCTTCGAACTATCGGCCAATTGCACTCCTGCCCACATTATCTAAGATCATTGAAAGATTGGTTAAAAAAAGATTTCTATCTTTTCTCCTTAAATATAAAATACTTACTACCCATCAATTTGTATTTCTAAGTAACAGTTGCACAAATGATGCTATGTTCGACCTTTTTAATAATGTATACTCTAGCCTGAATAACCATCACTCTACAGCTACAATTTTCTGTGATTTCTCTAAGGCTTTCGATTGTGTAAATCATAATATCTTAATTAATAAATTGCAATACTACGGTTTCGGGGGAGTGCCGCTCGAATGGCTTAAGTCATATCTTGGCAACAGAAGGCAGCTTGTGAGGATTGATACGTCTATGTCTTCTTGTAAGCCTATAGAATGTGGTGTCCCTCAGGGTTCAGTACTTGACCCTATTTTGTTTCTGGTGTTTATCAACCACATTGCAAATCTGGACATTAGCGGTAAAATCTGCCTCTTTGCGGACGATACTAGTTTCACTTGGAGCGGCCCAGATGTTGCGGCGCTATATGATACTATATCCAATGACTTACGCACCATTAAGTCTTGGTGCGATTCTAATCTCCTATGCCTCAACCTATCAAAAACTAAAGTTTTGTCATATAAAAGTACTATACAATCTTTTGTACTTAATAACACTACTATTGACGTCGTGGATTCTGTGAAATTCTTAGGACTTCTTGTAGACAACTCGTTAAAATGGGACTTTCACACTGAAGCTCTATCAAAGAAACTAAGCGCTGCCTGTTTTGCGCTAAGATTAGTTTCTAAGGAACTTAACCTCTCAACCTCTAGAATAGCTTATTATGCCCTTTTTGAGTCACATCTTCGTTATGCCCTTCCATTCTGGGGTACTTGCTGCGCAACAAAATTTGATCGTGTTTTCAGGCTTCAAAAGAGAGCAGTTCGATATTTATTGGGACTGAACAGTAGAACTCACTGCCAGAATTTCTTTAAAAATTTGAAAATACTGACTCTTCCTTCTTTATTCATTTTTGAATCCGTTTGCTTAATCCGCAAGCACATATCTGCTATTCCCGAAAGGCCATCTCATAACTATCCACTTAGGAATGCAGAGCACGATCTTTATCTGCCAACCCCGATCTCAGAACTAGTTAAAGGTTCAATACTGTACAATGCCAAAAAAATGTAGAATCATCTGCCTTTGAATATCAAGTCGCTTTCATTCTTTCCCGCATTTCGCAAAGCTCTAAAATCATACCTACTGGAGAGAGCCCTATATGCGGTAAACGACTTTTTTGTTGATGTTTAAGTATGAACAATTTTGAATTTTAAAATTTTGATCTCACACACTGGTCAAAGGTCAAGTATTTAATATTTTATAACTTTAAAATTATATCTATTTACTGCGTAGGTACTGTTCTAAAATTGTCCATGTAAATTCTTTTAAAGACTTAAATTTTTTTGAATTGTATTATTTGTATTGTGTATTTTTTGTTGTTTGTATTTTTTTGTGATTTGTTGTTTGTGAGTGCTTTGTCGATGAAGCTGTTTTGGCTTTTTGCACAATAAAGCGTTGTTTGTTTGTTGTTTGTTTATTTATGGGACAACAGTCATTTTTATTCACGGCGCTGAAGATTATTGAATTACTAATATCGCTATTAAAAAATAGGGGTTGATGGTAGAAAGGAGAAAATTTAGGGTTGTATGTAATTTTTTAATGCCACATCACAAAAAAGTAAAAATAAAAAATTTTGTCCAAAAAATAAAAAAAATTGTGGTGGGCCACCTTCATCACTTAGGGTGGCTGCAAAGACCTCCCGTAATCCTGCTGTTAAAATATGACAGCTGGTTTTTATAACCTAACCGAACCAATTGTTTTGTTTTAATAGCAGGATTACGGGAGGTCATTGCAGCCATCCTTAGGGGTATAAAAGATAGATAACAACCTACTCTCAGAACTACTGAATATACATATAAAATTTTTATCAAAATTGGTTAAGCCGTTTTGGAGGAGTATGGTAACTAAAACTGACACAAGAATTTTATACAGGGTGTCAAAAAATAGTGCCTCTTCTCGTCATAATCTAACTTTGGTGGGCGATTCTATAGATAAAAATAAAACAAAAAGTTCCTTTGAACATATCTCCTAAAATGCTTCCCGAAGAAGTTACAGCACTCGAAAAGTTAAACAAAAATAATATATTTTGTTTATTTTTAAGAACATCGTTTTTCTTGAAATTATTTTAATGCCAAAGCGAATGGCGATAGTGTAAAATTCCGTAACAGCCCTGAAAGTACCCTTTCAGGGTTGTCACCGATTTTCCTTTTGAAGCTTTTTCAAATGAAAGTGCTCCAAAGGTATAGATATTATTTTTAAATTAATGTGCGATAAATGTTAATTTTAGACGTTTTAATAAAGCTCTTGTAAATTATATTATGTATCTGGGTCAATTTTTAAATAAATATTTTAATTAACTTTACACAAAATATTTCAATGCTTTTAAATTTGTTTAAGTTAAATAATAATCAGAAAAA